GCATCTGCATCATCGTTTCAAGTGTTTCCTGGTGGACCATATTCAAAGGATTTTATGGATGTTTACTATTGGGGTGAAAAAATACCAGGTGCTTCTGGTTCTTCATTTCAAATCTTAAATGATCAGTATGCAAAAGATAGTATGGATGTTTATTATACTGGAAAGAAAGTGCAAGATGCATCAGCCTCATCGTTCGTGGTCTTGGGAGACGGGTATGCAAAAGATAGCATGGATGTCTTTTTTATGGGAAAAAAAATTCAGGGCGCATCTGCATCATCGTTTCAAATATTAGGGAATGGTTCTGCCAAAGATACATGGCACAGTTATTATATGGGAGAACAAGTACGCAATGCTTGAACTGATTATTCTAAATCCGACAGAAGCATGAATATATGTTATTGTATTTTAGTCGATTGTATTTCGAACGATTAAAAATATAAATGAACTAGATTTATCGATTCTTGGCTTCTGAAAAGGAATTTCGTACTTTTGAAATAAAGTGACATAAAAATAACACAGAAAAAATTGTTGAATCTGAATGGAATGTCTAACAATCATATTTGTAAAGTTCTGTAAGCCTCACCTTCTCGAAAAAGCGAAACTTTGATAAAAGTGTGATAAACATAAGATCAGATTTGCGGTCTCATTTGCCAGAGGATATAAAGTTGCCTGAGTACAGTTTTTAATACTTGTGTGTTTTAGATTGTCCGAGATATGAACGCACTCCAAAAATAAGTCACGTTCATGCTGCAAATCAAACCCAAATGAGTTTTTATGACCACCTTAACCGTTCTCAGCAAGCAGAAGACAATTCTGACAATTCTGGATTTTCGGATTCCTCATATAAAATTGCGTCTAGAAATGTTGTGTAGAGCTTTATCACATATTACATGTCCATTCTAAAAATCCACGATTGTACTACCTAATTTTGCAAGACTATCTAGTTTTTTCTGTCAAGACATAGAACCTTCATCCGTACGCCGTTCGAGTGATTGAAGGGTATTATAATTTTAATATTATTAATATTCATGAGAATGTTTTCGCAGTTAAGAAAGTCATGAGTTTATTGATAGTGTATTTGACCATGCATTGATATCATATCCCATTGGAACTTTTCGAAATAATTAGAAATTAATGCGCACTAATTTAATATCAGACTTTTTTAAATCAGTTTGCATTAATTTCTAATTATTTGCAAAACTTTCAATGGGATATTTTATATAGATTTTGCCGAAAATATGCATGGTAATTGACATTTTAAGCACTGTCGCATTTGTCCTTAACTTATTTTCGTATAAATCTTTACTTTCATAATAAAAAGCATGAAATGATTATTATTAACATGTCAATTATTACGAGCGGAATATATTTTGAAACGTTCTCTAGCAACATTCGGGCAAATTCGGAGGCGCACAAAGATACACTCATTTTCATTTATAAAAAAACAAACTTTTTCTTTCAGTTGTTCCGGTTCGATATAAATAAAATATTTTAATTCAGTTCACCGTAGCATGATTTGAAACATTGGAAAAGGCATCTCTCATCTCATTTTAAACATGTTTCCAATGCGATTATTATTTTTTCCAGTGCGTTAGATAACGGAATATAGTTTTCTCGCAACCGCATACTTTCGTGAATGATCGTAGCACGGCCCTTCAGCGAACAACCGCCTCCAAACTGATGATGAATCAAGAATTCTTTAATTTTGCTGCGATTTGAAAAATTCTTTTTAAGCCAAAAACGTATCAATGTCAGAGAAACCCAACTTTTTCTTCTATATTTTATTATATCCGCACGATATAGTAGGTATAACAAGAGCAACTGAACAGTCATAAAAAACTCACACGACCAGTTTCGAATTCTTTTTCAAGTGTAAAACGATAATTATGTACAACAAACATGCTGGTATATATGACAAGAGCGTGAAAATAAAAACAGAACAGAAGAACCCTGAAAGAGCTCAAAATACGATCCGTTTCTCTTAAAGAGCCTTTCATGTCTTGTATTATCAAAGAATCAATTTCAACCACTATCTCAACTATTTTATAGTACTTTAAATATGCCATATCAAAAAAGCTATCAAACCCTATATCTCTATACTTTTCATTTAGAAAAGAACGTTTAACCGTTTAAAAGTTGGGTTTCACTGACATTGATACGTTTTTGGCTTAAAAAGAATTTTTCAAATCGCAGCAAAATTAAAGAATTCTTGAGTCATCATCAGTTTGGAGGCGGTTGTTCGCTGAAGGGCCGTGCTACGATCATTCACGAAAGTATGCGGTTGCGAGAAAACTATATTCCGTTATCTAACGCACTGGAAAAAATAATAATCGCATTGGAAACATGTTTAAAATGAGATGAGAGATGCCTTTTCCAATGTTTCAAATCATGCTACGGTGAACTGAATTAAAATATTTTATTTATAATAATATTAAAATTATAATACCCTTCAGTCAACGAAATGAAATAAACGAATTCCTGCTATAGCAGGAAAGGTTTAGAGCTTTTACTATAGTAAAGGCTCTAAACCTATAAAACATTAGTAATCCCTATCCATAATGTGTACTTCAATCTTCATTTGAGAAAACATTTTTCGTATGTGCCTGCGGTGCATCAGGCGTATAACGTTCCAGTACAACTTTATCCCCATCAGTTGATATAATAACCAATTTTTGACCTTGAGATTCAATAGTTTGTATATGAGCGATCAAATGATTAATAATACCTTCTTTTCGCATCGATTCCGAATCACCTCCCATCATTGTACTTATAGCGTCTTGGTGATGCCATTTATTCGTTGACGGATCATAGTGAAGTGTACAGCTGAGATGATTAATAACACTTGTTGAAAGGCTAAAAGTATGTGCCTCCTGTTTAATCAGATGAAATTTAAAGCCAGTGCAATCGCTATGTCGTGGATAGTCAACCAATTTCCAATGTCCTTCAATACCGGTGAACTGTGCTGCCTGACGATCGAGCGAAGTTGGAATTTGTTGTGAACGAGTGATAGTAGCTTTACCACTGTATGTAAAACCGACGACTAGAGAGAAGAAGAATAGCGAGTGAGAAAGTGACAAATGAGAGTAGTATCAAAACGTACCTGGAAACAGAGGCTTCGGATATGGTGCTTGCAGATGAAATGCTAAACCCAATGGTTTGTCGTTCAGGAAGAAATAACTTTCATTTCACTCTGAGTTAAATTGAGTAGAATACCAAATTTATCGCCTTGTCTCAGAGGATCACCAAACGAACTGACTAAGAGACAGCTACCGTCCGATAGGTTACCTATAAAGAAAGGAAGGCAGACAGTTAAAAAGGTGCAAAAACGACTCTAGGGAGCTGATATTAAGCATACACCAGTCACAGTTAACCGAAACCGGTTATAATGAATAGAAACGGTAGAAGTAAACGTAGTCTCAGTGTTGCTTTTGGAAGAGGCCATATAACTAAGATTGATTCTTGCATAATAACGATTTCATGATTCATGCCTTGTCCTTCTACGTTATTAACAATTCAACAACTAACGTTACTTTTTTCATTCTCGAGAATATTATGAAATGATCAACAATTCGCTGCTGAATAGCAGACACGAAAGAGACAAAAATATGTGCTGCACATACGTAGATGAATAAGACAAGATAATTATTAATATTATCGTTCATATAATTTCACATATAATATACATAACTGTTTTCAGGGCTGGGCAACTCCGCCGAAGTTCAACTCCAACTCCGTTTCAACTCCGCTTGGTTCTTTTCTTTTATTATCCGCGCAAAGTATTAAAAATCAACAGCAATAACACATAGAATTGAAACTTCTTCAAAGTAACCAATGAAAATTACATTTCAAACATGTCAGTTTTGACAACATTGTTTCTGTTAGAGAGGTCCTTTGTGGTCTCATTAAAAATTCGCTGTGACTGAACATCCGCTCTACGGCGCGGATGTGACTGAAACGCTCAGCAACATAACTTGTACTGCCGTTTACACTGTTTACAGTAAAAGAAAGTAAGACTGATCCTGCAGAGAATCAGTACCGAATAACACTCGAACATTATCCCACTCCGAAAATGTCTGTGAGGAAAGCAGCTGAATACGCCGACACGGTGACATTTCTTAATTCTGTCGTATATTCACATGTCAAAGAAAGAACCATAGTGACTATACCCATGGGGAAAGTTTAGTAGGTACCGCGGTGTGCACACGCGTGAAATGAATTGTCGTCGCACGTGAACATCGTAAAATGGTGTGTGAGCACGTGTGAAAAATATATTCCACTTGTGACAACGGGTGAACTGGTCACGAAAACGATCCGCGTCATATTTTTTGCACGTGATCACAGGTGAAAGTCGTGAAGTGTGTAGTGGCCGCACGTGAATTTCTCACGTTAAAATTTCCGTGAAAGAATATCACTTGCGGACAAGCGTGAAAATGTTTCCCACTAATTTCATTGTGAAAAATATCTTCACATTTATTCGCACGTCAGTTTTTCACGCAACCCATTTCGTGAATAATATTCACGCTTAACCCCAAGCGACAAAATTCTTACG